CGGGCGCTGAGGAGGCAGGGAGGGAGGGAGGGTGAGAGAAGAGCTCTCCTTGCCGGCTCTGCTCCTGCCCCGGGAAACAGCCGAAGCCGTGGCGGGCGTACTGCGGCTGGTTCTCAGGCTGAGGTCTCCAGCTTCAGTGGCATTTATTCCTAAACCCGCTGCACCTCGAGCTTGGCCCCACGGTTTAATGGCGAGGTCAGCGTGAGCCGCCCCTCCCGGCCCAGAGCTTGTGGGGCTGGTGCTCAGAGGCAGCCGGTGAAAGGGGGAGGGTTGCAGGAACGCTTCCCTATCCCTGCAGGAGCGCAGCCTTTGCCCTCAGCCTGACCTGGGGTGGGAGGGGTGTATCTCACCCCCGCCGAAGGCACAGGTACGGATTTGTCCCTTCTCTCCCCCGCTGAGTAATCCTATGCTGGGAGAGAAATAGGAAGCTGGGCCCCCGTGTTTTCAACTCCACTGAGCTGAGAAAGGAAGCCAGTGATGTGGAAATTAGGCTAAACCGCCTAAGTAGGCAGCTCTCTGCACGTAACTAATCTGGCTGCTGCATACAGCAGCACTCAAGTGAATTCCAGCCCGGTGGGTAACTCTGGGACAAACCCAGGCTCCTGTGCTTGGTGAGCAGGGCAAGACAGAGAGGATGGAAAGTGAGGGGAAGAATGGAGGAGCAGGCCACCTGAGCTGAGGGCTGCGTGTTAGGTCCTGAATGAGACAAGGGGAACGGCAGGTAAGAGGCTGGACTCAAATGTCAGCTTCAAGACTTTGGCTGCAGCGTCTGATTTACAGTGTGGGTGTTACCATGCCCTTCAGGTTCCATTGCTGTTGTCTAGAGCTGTCTACACATCTCTCTCTTTCACTGTTGCACAGGGATGCACGGCCTGAATACTGTACCTGCAAAACATGCCAAGAACAGGCCACTGGCCTGGTAACACATCTGCACTGGGTTAGGAGCAGCAGCAGCAAGCATTCAGCTGTGGTGGCTTCCAAAAAAGGAGCTGCTGATCTCTAAGGCCACATTAAACAGTCCAGGTGAGAATGGGATCCTACGTATTGCAGGACTCTGAAGGGCAGAGGGTGGATGTGAGTGGTGAGCAGAAGACCAAGAAAACACCCGCTGCTGATCAGCACAGGTCGACTGGAAGACTGCACTCAGTCTCCCCTTGCAATTACCTCCAGGCACTAATTAACCCATGCTTCGTTAAACAGGCTATTATTAGAAAAGTGCTTGGAGGAGAGCCCCTGGGACGTGTCCCACTTCAATTGACAGCCTTGAAGCATTGAAGAAGATGCCCTAGTCTTGGCATCTTCATTGCCTGTTGTCAGGAGCAAGAGCACATTGAGGAGAAAAGCATCCTGCCCTGCTTTGTCCTCAAGTGCATTGGGAAAAGTGGCAGAGGAGGAAATGCTTCAGAGCTCACTACACCTAATTAAGGGCCATGCAGAGGGGAATCTGGCAGTGGTATTTTGTGAATAACTAGATATTGTTGCTTGTCATAACCAGCAGGTGTGAGGAAGGTAGTTTATTGTTTACCTACTGGGGGCACAAGGAATTAGAGTTGACTCAAGGCTGATGCTATTAAGAGTGAACACGTAAGCAGAGAAAAACAGTGGATGAGGAGCAGCCAGAGTGAAACTAGGTGCAGGAAAACAAAAAAATGGGAGAAGAAACAGCCTACCTGTAACCAAAACTAAGGTGACAATTGGTGCAACAAGGATGGCCTGTAAGAGGGGTTGGAGTGATAAGTACTGCAAAGGAGAGGAGGAGGTCAGAGATGCTTTAATATACATTTTATCTTCCTTTTTCTAATCTGACAGCTTTATATGTTTATTTCATATTTAATAAAAAGGGGCTGACAAAGTTCTCACAGAGCTACCCTTCCGCAAAAGGGGAAGGTGCTGGGGGGGAGGGAATTATTTCAGTTTTGCTGCAAAGGAGGAGGGAGAAAATTATTTGAGATTTCCTGCAAAAGCCATGTCAAGAAACAAAGGCAGAGATAGTCTGGTATGATAGGGCTGTAAGGTTTGGCCTGGTTTGGCTCAAGAGGACTTGAGTAAGCACTGAGAGATGCCCTCCCACAAGGACTTTACTAAGGCTGCGTGCTCAGCATGCTCCGTGGAACTGCAGCAAGCACACATTTCGTTGCAAAAGTGCATCCCTCTCTGTCAGCACAAGGAGATGCTGAAGATCTCGGTTGAGTACTGAATCTCTGGCAGTTACAGAACAATTCAGCTTCCAGCTGCTGCTGCACACAATTAATCAGGGCTGAAGAACTGGGGCAGAGCAAGCCCCACAGCTTCTGAGTGGTTGGTTGTCACCCTGGTCATCTGTCGCCTAGCTGATGTGACACACAAGCTGTGCAGGGGAAGCATGTTCTCCTGTGCAGCTCTTTCCTGTGTGTTGAGTAAAAAGACAGGGCACAGCTAAAGCAGAGGGATGGAGCTAAGTGTAGGACAGGAGCACAGCTCTTTTCCAACAGTGTCCATAGATCAGGAGTGATAGTTGGGCACAGAATGTTTTTTCATCTTGGCTGGACTTACTCTAATGTCAATTGTCTCTTTCTCCTTTCCTTCCCCCTGCCTGTGCTTGGAGGGTTTGCACCAAGAGAAACAGACCCATTCTAGGTTGCCAAGGCAAGAAATGTGAATTAGAAACCAATCTCCTGTGGAGTTAGAAAGAGAGAAATACCAGAGCCATGCAGCATTACAAAATAACACTTCCATTTTGTCAAGTTTGAAAGTAATGGAAATTCTAGGAGCTTAAATTTGTTCAGTTGGTCCAAAAAATGTCAAAACTACTAGCTCAAATTTGATTAATTTAATTACCCCAACAACTTGCTCCGAGTGGTGCTCTTCAGCCAAAATATGTTTCTTGGGGGATGGGAGGAACAGGGCAGAAGAGTCAGAGCAGGTATGTTATGTACATTTGTTAGCAGACAATCTTCTTGCTCCTGGAATGGGAACAAACTATGAACTCAGGAATAAGCAAGCAGTGGAAAGCAGCTCTGTGACTGAAAAGTGTTTAAGTCCTACCCAGTGACATTTTTGTTTTAACTGAAGCAGATAACCAGCCTGATGACAGTAGTTGGCATGACCTTTCTCATCCATTGCACCTTGGCACTAGTCCAAATGCCACTACCACTGCATCCTCTCTCACTAACATAAGCAAGGGGCCAAAGAGTACAGTTCTGATGTGCTCTCTGCCACGTGCACCTCTAACTTTTGGGTACACCAAGACAGGGGAACACCTTGGGTTTTTTTCCCTGGCCTGAGCATAAGGGTGAATTTCTGGAAAATGGCTCCTCTCCCCAAGTCATCCAGAGCTACAGAGACAAGACAGAGAAGGCAGAAAGACACCCAGCAGATAAAAACTTTCCACCCTTGGACCAGTAAAAGTTAGAGCAAGTAGGGAAGGCTACATCTGAACTACGTAATTTTGAGTTACTGTAGTGCAAGCATGCCTAGGCTGCTTACCCATCCTTACTGGAGCTTTCCTGCATCAGTATGGTGGAGATTAATGGGCCAACTCTGTTACTGTTGTACACTCCCTCATTTCTCCCCTTGTTTAACAGAAACGCTGGATAAAAGTTTGCCAGAGACTCTCAAGGCTCCAGGAGTCCCTTCAGAAAGAAGGCTTGACTCAGCTGGAACAGGCAGACAGCACACAGCACCCTGTGTCTGGGGAGGCAGGATGCCACTGCTGCTCAGAGCAGTGGGGTGACAGTCCCACCACTGGGGGACAGGAAGAGCAGGCTGCATGATGGGGAGCTGGGGTGAACTGGCCTCTTCAGTAGAAATACCCACAGAAGACCAGGCACAAACATGCTGCCCATGCAGTCAGAAATGCTGTCCCACAGAGCAACACGGGCAGAAGGGTGCAGAGAGGCTTCTCTGTGGAAGCAAGGGGACAGATAAATGACTGACACATGCAGAAGGTGAAAAAGCAGCTTGGGACAAGTTAAAAGAGTGGGATCGATCTGGAACATTACAAAGAAGAGAATGTAGCTAAACATCGTGCTGAAAATCTCCAGAGAAATTTAAGTTCCTGTGCCTTTTGGGCTATGGAATAGGTACCCAAGACAGGCCATGAATCATGTAACGTTTGAAGTAGGACAGCAGAAAACTGCAAAGAATCCTGTTTTGAGTCTAGGACAGAACAAAACCCCTCTCTCCTGCTACACAGGTAGACTCAAACATAAGACATCACTCAGCACCAACATCAATTTAATTCTTCCCTCTTCAGAACAGGAACACGGCAGGCAGCCCTGGCCGTAAATCAGCAAGCGGAAAGAGGTCTAAGGGACAAACTGTGCTGGGAAATCCCAGCTAAACATGCAGGCAACAGAACCACTCTACTCAAGATGGCCCAGACCCAGGAGGAGGAAGAGCATAGTTCTTCCGAGTCACTGAAGTGTGGTCCACTCAGCTGCCCAAGACTGCAAACCAAAGGGCAGGTCCAGGCAAACAAAACCAAGTGTTCTCCCTGTTGTTCTGTCCAGTTTCTAAGAGGCAGCAGGTTATTATGTTCCTACGCAGCCCCAAAAGTAGTGAAGGAAGCAAGTCCCAATCTGTGAAACTACAGGGTCAATGCAATGGCTTTGGCTGTTGTGTTCAAGACAGCATTGGAAACAACTGGAATGTCTCTGGCAACTCTCTGAAAGGGTGGCATGTTGGGTCCTTCCAATGTGTCCAGGATACCTGCAGGGAACAGAAAAAAAGGGAGAGGGGCAAAAGTTAGCTCAGGTGCAGGTGGCATGCTTCCTCTTGCTTTTCTTTCTGGCCAGGTACTGGTTGACAGTGGCAGGTCCCAAGATGTGTGAAGCACTTGGGAAGCAACCAGAAGAGACATTTAGCCCCCAAAAATGAACAGCAGTAACCTTCATGCAGAGACCACATGGTACAATCAGCTTGTAATTGGGGCAGGGAAACTGAACATTCCCAAAAGGAACACAGAACCTTTTACTTTGAGGGTACCAGATCTAGTCCCCCACCATTGACCTGAATGCAGGTGTTGCCAGGGATACTGCTCTTGCTGAGGCAGCTTGGTAAAATCCTCTCCCCACCTCATCCCAGCACAGACCCTGCTCTTAGACCAGCTCTTTTTTTTTTTTCATCCTGAAATAGCTTGTAGACTGACATCAGGAGCTGCAGCTGGGGGTGCAATGTGGAATTTTTGTCACTGCAATGTGAACACAGACTCTGCTTGGCAGGAAACACACGTACCAATGCAAATGTTCTCCAGTTCCTGTCAATGACTCTCTCAAGAGTCATCATCAGTCTTGGAGATCTTTGAAGGATAAAATACACTCCAGGCAATTTCCTGGTTTATCTGCTGAAAAGTTGCAGATCAGGGCTCAGAGTCTTTGCCACAAGAACAATATTCACATCTAAAAGGACTTGTAATGCTGTGCTGTAACCACAAATTATGCAGGTTTAGCTGAAATACCATGAACAGATCTGGCTGCCCAAACTCAGAAAGGGGCTTGTTTGTTGGTTTTTACAGGGGACCTGAATATGTAAGATGATGCAGTTTCTGCTGTCAGCACTGTACAACACAAGATTTAAAAAGGTGTTACACAAAGGAGGAAAGACTTTGACACATTTCCTAAGAACAGAAAAGCAACTTCAGCAAGATTCAGGAAGGGACTGGACATCTGCCTGCAAGAACAGTGAATGCTGCAACACTTCACTTGTGGGGAAGGAATAAGTGTCCTGCCTCATGACTTAGGTCTTAAGTACTCTAAGTACTAAAACTCAGTGCACTGAGACTACCCCACGTTTGCCTTGACAACTGCCTCTAATAAAGCTAGTGCTGGTGACTCTTGGGTTGCAAACTGGCACAGATGCCTTCAGGTTGGATCCATCCTTTCTCTCACAGAGAACAAAATGCAGCTCCTCTTCCCCCAGATCTAACAGGATATGTCTTCATATTTCCCTTGCTTACCTTCTACCACCTTGTGATAAGCAAAGTGCAGATAGAGGAGGAAAAGCATATGCAGAGCAGCAAGTGTCCCACACAGGATGAGCCGCTGGGTGTGCCCCACGGTGCGTGACACCAACACAGCCACCTAGGAGAGAGGTGGAGATCAGAGACAAGGTCGCTGCTACCTGAGCCTCTGGCATTGCAGTCAGGAGCACGCAGGAGGATGGACCAAGTAGTGAGACCCAGCGGAAACACTGCTCAGAGCCTTTTCTGCAGTTTGCATCCCAGAATTCCGAGCAGTCTGACCTTGTTCATGTAGCTGAACCTTGCCCAGTCTTTTCAAGAGGATGCTCAGGCATGGCTCTCCAGAGAGAGCCATGGGAGCTCCATGGGGGCACAACTCCTGTAGCTGTTAGAATGTGTGAGGATATTAAGCTAAGTGTCACCTCCAAACACCAGTGGCAAACGACCCAGGAGCATCAGGCTGTTCTTCACATCAGCCTGACTGGCTGTGAAATGAACTGCCTGGCCCAAGGAACAGAAAGCAAACAACACTTCCCTCCCTTCTCTTGCCTCAGAAGAGAAGGGCCCCAGGTTGCTGGTCCTTACCATTCGTAGTGTAGAGAGTCCACCAACAACCAACCAGAAGATATAGAAGAGGGAGTGGAAGTGGATATTATAGGTGACAAAGAGAGTGATGCAGTGTCCAAAAAGGCCATAGCCCTGACAAGACAAAAATATACATGTTACAAGTGTCAGTCCCACACAAAGGGCTATGGACCAAGAGCACAAACAGGCTATTCCTGCAACGCTTCACCAAGGCAGAGCTTCACCAACCACTCATTCAATACCAAAGAGTCAACCAAGCGCAACAATTTTAACAGCTTACACTCAGATAATGTGTCTGAAAGATTCACAGGGATGTCAGAGATTTCAACAACTTGGGAAACAGAGGAAGGAGCCTCTGATTTCAAAGAAATTGGTATCTCCCGGGGTTTTTTACCACCAGGCTCTCAGATCAGAAAACGCAAAGCAGAAGATGTGCACAAAGGAACAGTCTCTTTGTGCTACTTCTGTGCCTGGAATAGGGCAGCTCAGAACAGCATTCTGGAATTCCAGGTTGTCCCAGTGCAGTCACCTGAGACCACTGATTAACAAGGACTCTTCCCATTCTTTGGGACCTGCTCACAGGCCACCCTTGTGCAGGAACACCATGCAGCCAAACTGCACCTTAGGGCATCCTGATTGGTACCTACCAACAGTGAAAGCATCTGCACCATGGTGATCTGGGCATTGCACAGATATGCCAGGAAATAGATGAAAGAGGAGACACCCAACCAGTAACCGAAGCAGGTGCCAATGGCTGTGCCCATCAGTGTGCCTTCCCTCTGTGGAGACAGTGTCAGGATAAGGAGGACTCAAAGTAAGTGACCTGCCACCACCCAAATTCCACCACAGAGCACTCCCAGAGCCTTTCCAAACACTATCAAATATCTGGCTATCCAGGGTGCCGCATGAACTACACTCCAGCTCTGCCAGCAGCAGAGCACCAGGACTTTCTGATGCTTCCCTTCTTTCCATCCCTAAACCAACAGGCTCTTCCTCAAATCAATCTGCTTTTCAGCAAGATCCCATTCAGTCATGGAAGAGATCTCCTCTCCCTTTCCAGTGTCATTACAGCAATCCAGAGCCCAGTCAAACAACAATTGATCACTGAGAATCAACACATACGATGATGGTGTCCGAGGTCTTCATCCCATGCAAAAGGATGGCCACCAGTGTGAAAACCAGCATAAGAGGTCCATAAAGCTCACCTGCAATCTTCTGCAGGAAGAGACAGAACAGGGAAGGTTTGGTTAGTGCTCCTGAATACCAGGCTTCCCATCCCAAGCAATGCAAAAAGTGCCTGGGATGGAGTTTATCAACTATCCGCCTGAGAAGCAACAGCAAGGCCATTGCTGGCAGGAGCCAGGCAGAACAGGATGTGTGATGAGGAGTCTGGGAGGTGTGAAGTCTAGAACCATACCAACATTAAAGGCAGCAGACTGGGGTTTGGAACAGCCACAGGAAAGGGTTTACCAGCATCTTCAGGCAGATGAAAACCTAACAAACTCAGGTCCTTAACAAAACGGACTGCTTTAGCTTTACAGGGTGTCTGTGAGATATTCATTTGGCCACAGAGTCTGATTCAGCAGAAGGGAACTCACCTGTGGGAAATTAATCATCTTGACAGGAATCATGGACTCCAGCAGTCTGCATCAAAGCAAAGTGGGGAATGACATCAGGAGCAGGGAGTACCAGAAGATGATTAACAAAACATTCCACACACCCATCACAGGCCTTAAAGGACGCATATTCCTTCTAAAAGGTCACATGAGGTAACTAGAGGAGAAAAGCCTTACTGTCAGCGGGTTAACTTTTCTGGGAGGGATTCAGTGAAAACACTTAGGGATCCACTCTGGGATGAGAGATCGTTGGCAGAACAGGGAGGGAAGGCACTTTTCTTCCTCCAGCCTCACAAAACTTTGCCTTTTCAGACACAGCTGTGTCGTAAACCCAGCAGCAAGAAGCCACACCGAACAGTTGAAGGCCAAAGAGGGCACTCCAGCCTCCCTGCCCACCTGGCGCGCACTTGGACGGGCTCCACGTCGAAGTAGGGCCG